TCGATAAAAATCCTCGATTTTAACAAAAAACGTTGCTCAAAATTGCATTTTGCAGAAGCTCAGCCTCGGCTTGTTCTTAATTCAGTTTTGAGGCTCGTGTTCTTATAAAATTGTTCTTATAAAAACGAGTGTAAGTGAGGTCCATGGGCTTCCATCCGGGTATAGGCCCACTGGGCTTTTAAGCGGGAGATCTAAATTTCGGGATGAAGATGCAAAAGGTACTTCAGAGCGAAGGATACTTAAAAAGGTTTCACAAAATTCTCATTTCAAAATTAACAATTGTAATAAGATCACGTGTTACCCTGGGTTCCAGAGCGTCAGTGTTGAGGAAATAGGGGGTTGCGGAAGAGTGATGTGTCGAGGAAATAGGGGGTTGCGGGAGATTGCACTCTCCCGCAACCCCCTATTTCCTTCGACGCCCCACTTCCTACACTTGACGCTCTGAAACCCAGGGTAGTCTCGTTTAGGCCCATGGGCTTTAATGCGGGGTAATAGGGTATGAGCAATGATGTTTGCGTCATTTATAGTTTGAATATGACACACATGAACTCTATTTGGAAAAATATTTTCATTTGTAATCTTATTCCAACCCTGGGAAATGTCGGTGTCTATGGTAACAGCAACAGCTTTGTCAGGGCTTGAAGATGACAAGGTGACAATAGCACAATAGGACCTATGAAGTTCCTTTTTAGTCACCACTCGTGACTCCAGTGGGATGTGTTACACACCATAGCAGTATTTTAGACTAAATTATACTTAAGTTTTTAGAACACTTTGAAAAACCTTCAGAAATGGATAATGATGAAGATGAGAGACCTATAATTGGCACAACATCGCCAATAAACACAGAGGTGATCGGGACGGAAGATCAGAGTCCGCAAGATCAGAGCCCGCAAGATCGGCCCAAACTAAATCTGAGATTGGTAGTCTTCTTCGAAATATTGTTATTCTTGACGATAGTAAGTGTTTTGTGTGTCTTTATAATTTCCTGGCACAGTGGAGATACACTGCTAGAAGTATTCTCCTTTAGGAAGGAGGATGTAAAGAAACCAGTTTTTGTGGCTGTGCTTTGTTTTCTAAGCATTGTTATGTTGGTTTGCTCAGCTGATTTAATAAGGAGAATCTACATACTGGTCAACAATAGAAGAAAAAGTCGCAGATCAAACAGCCTAGATAATGAGAACCAAGGCCATTCAAGGAACTGCAAATGTCAGAATGTCTTGCCAGATTTTGAATTGCGAAGTTGCCTTGAGATTCTAGACTTCCGCTCTTTGGCGGAAACAGGCTTGCTTGCATCAAAAGGAAGCACCACAGAAGAGAGGTTTAACGGCAGACTGGCAGATATGAATGCCGATTACACTGAATATTCTAACAGGTTCGTTAATGGGATTCCATTTGGAGTAGAAGAATTTGGGCCTTCTCATCATTCAATCAGACTTACCGTTGTAATGGGTGGGCCGGAAGGAACGGGTAAAACTTCTCTTTTCAACAGGATACTCAACGGCCATTCAGCGCCTAATCCCGAGGGATGCATTGGGATAAACTGTGCGTTGAAAACATTTACTGTAACTGGTCCTAATATGTTCAACGAGGATATAGGGTTAAGCATTGAAATGCAGATTTGGGACCTATCTGGAAATTATACGCGGAATGGCAATTTGCCCCAGTTCCCTGATCACGTTGTTCTCCTTGTCGTGTGTGACGTCATAAGACCAGAGTCATTGGACAGTGCAAGTTGGTGGATCGATAATATTGGATCAAGAAGCAGAAATCCCCATGTAGCATTGTTTCTGAATAAAATTGATGAAGTGGAGGATGATACAAGTTGTGAAGAGATAGAAAACCACCCTGAGCTAGATGGCATAGATGTTTACAAAGTTTCTGCAAAGACTGGCCAGAGCGTTAGGGTATCTTTCCTTCGGGCAATATGCAAAGCTGTACGAGTTGAAGCTCGCAGAATTGCAGAGTAGCTCAAAGAAAATGGTAGTGAATCAATTGAATTTAAGGAAAAAGACTGATTTCCATAATAAAATTTGTTGAGTACATGCAATACAGTTATTTTTTCATAGAAAATGGGCACGGACAGTGAGAGAAAAAAGAACTTTTCGCTTGAACGGAAAAGAAAGTCTGCACGCAGGCTATGCTTGAAGCAAAAAAGTCAAGAAACTATAAAATTTGGAGAAAAAAACCAGTCATGCAAAATTTCATTTGAATCTCTCAACATGATTTGCTGGTTGTCATAATACTTTAAATATTGAGCTAAGCATATTCTCCTTTCATCTAAGTACAGCATACGAATGGTAGCAAATCACTTGACATAAATGTCAGAAGTATTTGAAAACAATTGAAATATTGACGAATCTCTCTGTTTGCAGCTTCAAAACCTCCCCAACAAGGCTCTATTGGAATACTTCCTAGCATGGAAAATTAAATGTAGGACCCTGGCACCGGGCTCCGACACAGGTTGGAAAGTGGGGGACCAAGAGAAAATTTTGCCCCCATAACAGAAGATTTTGAATAATGCTCTATTCTTTTGTAAGCAAGGAAGCCCTTTGTTAGAAGCCCTGGAATCTATTTCATGACATCATTATTGAGAAATTGTTAAGAAACGTTAAGTATTGAATTTTTCAAAACGTTTGGAAACTGGAGTACTCAACGTAGAACTTTGTTCTTATGAAAAAATGAGTTTATTTGTTTTTAAATTCAGATACTGCAAGGGAAGAAAAATCATTCTATTTCACTGCTATTGCATGTTCTCATATAATAAGTTGTACCCATGTGTAATGTTGTGTTACTGCTGTGAAAATTAGAGGAATATTTCATGATATCGAGAGGAGAATTTATGCATACATGTGTTTTGATTTAATAAAAAGAATTCGCACTTATTTCGTTAATCTAGCACATCGCAGTAATAACAGAATGAGCAGCAGAAAAGGCAAAGTTTTTTGTTTATTTCTTTATGAGTTTTTATGGCAGATCTGACCTTATCTATATCGCATTTTATTATGTATCCCAGAATTCGAAAAACAAAGAAACAGTTCCCAACAAGGTTTTTTCCAACTTCAGGTCTCTCAAGCCAGTTCTGGAGATGAACAGATTAGGGTTGCTAGTTGTTTCTTGAAATCATTTCCCATTAAAAAAACTGCTAGGATAGAAACTAGTTTTCAATCTCTCTGTCCGCGCATGATCAAGGCATTATTATTTTATGACATTGCATTTTCATTGCCTTCACATTTGCTCACATAACGTGCTGCTCAATGGCATGGCTTAATGCTACGAAACTGATATAGGCCCATCATTACTGCTTGGTAAACATAAGACAAGGGGCCGATTCAAAGTATGGAAGGTGAACAGAAAAGAAAACATTTTGGCCAGAAACAACCAATCGAGCAAGTTATTAGTTGATCACCACATGAAACTTGAAAATTGGTCTTTAGGTAAAAAAAATCAATTTGCTTCCACTCAACCGTCATAAGCTTAGCAAGTATTGTTTCAATAGAGAAAGATTCTAGAGCCCTATAGTGACAGCTCTATGCTTGGATCTCTCGCAAGTTAACAACATCGATCTAGGAATAAGGGACTGCAAATGAATAAAATGACTGTAGTGATAGCTCATTTCCCTAAATTTAAAGTTCAATTGACGCATAGAAACAAAAATTTATCGGCTGTTACAATAGGTAGGTGTTTGAAAGTTTTTCATTTCTAGCTGATCTGTATACGAGGCTGTGAGATGTGTCAATAAGGATCTACTGACTGTGCGAAATATGATTACCTTCAAACTGACGAAAACCTATCATATTCAAAAACTAGCTGCATAAACTAAATTCATATAAAAATTTAAATTTTAAAACATTCTTCAACAAACTATTAGGAAGGTCCGTTATTATCGTATAAAAATGAAAGTTGCTAATTATATACAGAGTTAGATTGACAATCTGTATTGCAGAGGTTTGTGACAGCAAATGAAGAATTTCAGGCAACAATTTTTTAATCAGGCAACACCCCCCCCCAACAAGGCTTGCCTCGCGACGGCCCTGCGTGTCATTAAATGAAAGCTAAGCCTTTGTCTCTGTAGCAACTACAAAAAACTCAATTGACAAGTCGAACAAATAAACTTTTACTATGTATCTGAAAAAAATTGGAATTTTGCTCAATTTTTTATTGATAAACATGCGCCTTTAATCATAAAAAAGTCTCAATTTAATTACCACCCGAGGAATATTCCAATAATCTCTATCATCAAGAATTAATTGGGATTGACTTTTTCATGAATTATTCTGAAAACTGTACGTGGCTAATTTGTTTATCATAACTCTCCCGCCTTGAGAAGACAATGTTCTTCATAAACATTTGACACATAATAACAAAGAAACTCGTGTAAAAGTAACCATATGAATACAAATAAATCTTTCGAAAATTTGTTGCGGCCCCATTTTGTTTGTGGGCCCTGGGACACTAGGCATTGGAACTTACCTCTCCAACATTCAACATCTCCATCTAACATTTACTGACTACTCTCGGTTAAAATACTCGACCAGAGAATAGAGAACAGGCCAGAGCAAGACCGTCACTAGATATTTATCCAAAAGTGAGAGCGTAGTTTCCATTGGGCAATTGGGGGAACCATCCTTTATTTGACGAAAGGCTTGGGAATTTGCGGACGAAGCATCACTTACATGGAAAAAAATTCTTCGTATTTCGAAATGGAATTTTTTCTCAATAAGGTGTCACACCCCTCGCGCAACCTGCCCCTCCCATCATAGTGTTCATGGGCTAGAGAGCATCTGATTGGACTAAAACGAAATCCCGCTATGCTGGACTAGAGTGGATAGCTAGAGCCCCCCCTAATAATTGTCAAATAAACTCATAGTATAATTCCTTTACAACAGTGTGCTGAATGAGAAGGAATACAATGGGCAGCCCTCCCGCTCCAATATGATTTTCGTTCCGACGGCACTGGATAGTGAGTTCGTACGTCGAAGGTTGGGACCGTTGTTTTCTGGTGGCCATACCGAAGAGGCGTGAGTCCGGTCCACCAGTAGCAAAGCTTGCGAAGGAGCAATATTGTTTTCCCTGTTCAGATCAAAAATCAAAGCTTTGCCATCAAACACGAGTTTATTGCATGGGAAGACATCGTAAGTTTTGGATTTGTTTTTTATAATCTCTTTGAATGAATTGTGTTTGATATTATAAAGAAAGAAGTAGGTAGCATGCTAAGCATCGCAATTCATCGCTTTCATGCTTGGCCTAATTTGAAATCTGCTAAACTGTCATGTCAATTATGTAACAATAAACCCAAAAAGGCGATGATAGAGACGATAGGATTCTCCATGTCCCTTTCCTATCCCTGATCTCATTGACATGAATGTTTTGAAGTGCTATAGAACGTTTATTTTGTCTGATCAAGCTATTATGATGTATATCAAGTTCAGGTTTAAGGTTCAGTTTCATTTTATTTTGACTTTCACCGACCACATACATTTTCACCAAATACTAGATAGAGACATAGCAAATTGAAATAGTAAACTATTATCACAATAGTATGTGGAACACAAATTATGAGTGGGATATGTATGTATGGGGAATTATTTAAAGAAGGAAGTCTGTCAAAGCTAATCAAGGAGAGAGACCCCCCATACACAAAGATATTTCAGCACTTTACAGTTATCAAATTATAAATACCAAAAATGAATCCTGGTTTCTGTATGTGGAAAGTGGTAATGAGTGTAAGCAATTTCAAATATTAGCTGTTAATGTTTTTTTGCAAGGAGATATGACTTCAATTTATGACGAAAGCAAACCAAGGATACAGATTCTTTGGCAGTAGGAATACTATTCCAGGATTCAGCACCAGGAAAATGAAAAAAATCTTAAGCCGTATTGAAGAGTGTTTTTCTGAGTTAAGAAAATGTTGTTCATAGAAGCCTTTTGATACGTTTTATTAGTGCCAAAAAATCACCATACAAATGGTCTTCAACAGTATCAGTTTATCTATTTGTACTTTGGTATTCAGAAAGACTTACAAATTTAAAATAATTCTAGATATTAGAAGGTGTTTTCCACTTTGCAATTGAATAGAAAAAAATTTACTTTGATTCACTTTTAATGACTTGATTCACTTTGATTTGCCTATCAAAATTTTGTAATAACCAAACAGACTATTTTGGTTGACTATTGCCCCAACTGGAAAATTCGTCACACCCCTTCAATAGATAATTTCCATCAGAGCAATTTTGTATATTGGCCACACAAAGTCCCTAGTAAATAACAATTCTACATTATTTTTTATGTTACAAAATTTTTTAAGTGTCTTGGATTTCTGGGGTGCAGTCTCGAATTTCCAAAAAGGACTTGTCTGCACTAAGAAAAAAAGCTTCCAGTGTGGTTGTTGTCTTCAATCACCAATGAAGATATTCTCAAATCATGATAGGGAACATAATGCTTAAAAAATAATTGTCAAAAAGTTATGTAAGTTACCTTTAATGTGAGTTTTTTGCTGTTTTAGGTCTTTGCTGATTATATTTGGATTCTTTCCAAGATAAGCAAAAGGCCTCCAAAATGCTTTCTTTCTGCCCAAATAATGATACACTTCGTAAAGTGTTTAAAGATGGTGGCTTCTCAAGGTGTTTTGTAGAGCTGTTCACACCAAGTCTTCTAATGATCCTGATTATTGTCAGCTTTATCATTCAGCTAAGAAGGTATTGGAAATGTAAGAAAATGAAAAAGTACAGGAAACTTCATGTGCAAAATGGTGGCAGAGGTGGAATTGAAATCGACCAATTGTCACCACATTGCAAAAAACACTTTAAAGGATTTGCTTTTAGTGATTTGCCTAGGCCATTCTTGTATGTAGTGCAGTGGCTTCTTCATGCATGCCTAATCATTTTGCCAGCAGCAGACTTAATGAGCCGACTAATACTGTGCCCAAGCTGTCTCCATGGAAGTGTGCTCTATCAGGATGTGATGCTGATTCTCATTTGGGGTTTTGCACTACGCAATTTGCAACGAGAGAGAAAGATGTTTTACAGAGCCCATATCAAGTCACATTCCTTGCTTTTTCTTCTTTTCTGGTCATTGTCATTGCTTGTTGACATATTTGCTCTTGTTTCATGGGATAGCCATGTTTGGTGGTTTTCTGGTCCAAAAACAGAAGTTAAGAGAATGGAGCTGTTTGTTTTCAGTATCAGATTTTCTTCAAATTTGATTTTGTTTGTATTGGGCTTCTTGGCTCCTGGTTTATACAAAGAAAAAAAGAAGGTTGTTGCTGAAGGAGAAGAAAGTGAGAAAAAGAAACCAAAGGTATTTTATATTAATATTCGACACAGGTTTATAACAATTAGATTTATAATGTTGTAACATTTAGATATTTTGCAATTTCTAAGATAACTTGAAACCTGTGTTACTTGTTAGGAGACGTTGCTTTTGTAATTGTATCTAATTCAATGGCTAGTTAGCTTTATCGAGTGTCATTTAAAAGCTGTTCAATTTTGAAAAACAGTTTAAAAGATTCTTTTGGGGTGGACACTTGACTGCCTTTTTTTATTAGCATGTTTTTCTATCATACTCAATGTACTGTTTTGAAGCCATCTTTAAATTTCTAATCCTGTAATTTTCTTTATCTTATGCAGAAGTCTCCTTTCAATGACCTATGGGAAAAAAGTAAGCAACTGTGGCCTTTCTTGTGGCCAAAAGACAGGTATGTTACAAGCCTGGCCATTTGTATTTTTGTAGGTGAGATGTAAATCGCTCCCCTTATTTTCTGAGGTGAGCTAAATCAGTAACACATGGAATGTACTTTAAAAGCAATCAACAGATAGCTTGAGCCATTGAGCCCCTTTCGTACCTGTCAATTGCCTTTAAATAGTCTTGAAGTCAAAGAGTATGTTGCTGTTTTACTTCTTTCAATTTGTATATGCTTTAACCATGGGTCAGGCATCCCCTTTGCTTAAAGGAATTAAAAAAAGAAAAAGATTGCCCAACACAAAAGTAACAAATCTCCTAACAAACAATTGTTTTGTCATACAGAATTTAAAAATGGCTTTGAAAACATATTTTGAAACAAACTTAAGGCTTTTGATCTGACACTTTTCAGAGTATAAAACGTCAGAACATAGATCAAAAACTCCTATGCCTAGAAACATATATACCCAATTGTGGATCTAAATAGGCCAATCAGAAATGCAAGCACATTGCTGTTGAGGTTGCCCAATCAGTGCCATATGCTTATGAAAAATGTTACCAATGGATCCTATATTGAAAACAAACTCCTTCTGTCATGTTTATGTAGATAAATTATAAATCTGCTAGATGGAACATCGATCTGGCTCTACCAATAATCTAAAGCATGTGGCCATTATAGTTTTTCAGGCAATTTGGATTTCCAGTAAATGCTGCTTGATAGTGGAATTGCATGCTTTAGTTATTGTTTCTGATCTGCAAGATGGAGGAGGCTGTTAACTTTGGTGAAGTGTTTTGTTTCTAATGCTTGAAGGAACATGATGTTTTATTCCACTCCCCAATCAACAACCCTTACCAATTTTTAGGGTTCTAAGCTCCGCAAACATACCTTTTGCTTCACTATCCTTTTCCAAATAGATTGAGGTTCATGACTACCATAACAAAAATCGTCTGACAGGCAGAACATTAATTGCAAAGAGGCAATGAGGGGAGAAATTGCTGTTACAAGAATGAACCAATTGAATACAAAAAGGGCAAATGAATGGAAATTTTAGGGGAGCGATTTGAGTTATGAACATTTGCTGTGAACAGTTTTTCATAAAAAATTCTTATTGTTTGACCGCAAGGCACACCTCACTCGATATGAGGTTGTACCATAGGTTGACGGTTCTTCTTCTGATTGAAGGATTATTCCAGTCCCTCGATCAAATGAAAAACTCTTGATTGATGGATAAACATCAATTATGGAAAAACCCCCACATTAGATGAAAAACAGGGTAATTTATTTGTAAACATTGTCTTAAAAAATCACTGTTGTGTTTTGAAAATAATTTCACCTTAAAGTTTATTGCAATACCCTTCAAGATATCTCTTGGCTGGAACATTGTTTTTTGACTCATGAATGCATGCCTTGCTTTGATTGTGCTGCTTTTCACAACAATATGGCAATCATAGAATGCACAACTGCTTGGCGAAGCTGTTCTGAAATCTCGTTTGGGAACATTCTAATACCTTGGAAACTGACAGAACTGACTTTGAATTTAGCATATATGACTTCTTGTTGCTTTAGAAATCTTTGAAACAGGTTTTAAAACTTTAAGGCTGTTTGATTTTTTGAAATTTTCTTTGCAACTTTTTCGTTTTTCTCATGTGATGTTTTACATGCCTTACATACTTTATGTCTAGGTGGAAGCATGTGTCTGCAATCTCAGGCCCCTTTTTTACAAAGTCTGTCACAGGGAGGGTTGTGTTTTTGGCAGTAAATATATTGAATTCCCTATGGTTTTTGAAAGCTTGATTAGAATTAATGCTTCCAGTGACATTAATTGCAAAAATTGGCCTTGTACAAAACATTATTTTCTGATTTTGCTCATTGTACCAGCAAAATGGTCTTTATGGGGTTTAATTACCATATGGTTCCAATTTTGAAAAGTCAGGATTACCTTTATGTGGATAAATGATTGATAGATTGGATTGTCAAGAACACCTATAAAACATATATATGTTACCAAGTTAAGGACTAATTGACAATTGTCCTGTGCTATACCCACAAAGAGTGCACCAGTTAAATTAATCAGCATCAACACTTTATAACTGACCAGTAAACAGATATGTTCAATACTGTGAGCCATTTGTTTTTTTCTAAAACTGATGATGAAATCAACTCTTGTAATGCTTAAAACATTGAATACCTATAATCACAAGTAGATATATGTTAGACAGTATAATGATATGTCTTTTGTGCCCTTCAAGTTTTTCAAAATAGTCTCATTAAATCTTTTGCAGATGGCTGCAGGCACGTGTACTTTTCTGTTTACTTTTGCTTGGTGCTGGCAGAGGAATAAATGTTTTGCTGCCACTTCAGTATAAAAAAATTGGTAAGCATTTATTTCCTGGGTCAAAAAGAGAGTGAGCTTCATAATCCAGCAAAATCCTTGCTTGAATAAGGAAATTGAGAATGATATTTAAGGATAGCAATTCTGAATGATGAATTTGGCCATTATAAAATCTCAAGGTTAACTGTATGTTTTCTGTGAACTATCTTTGTGCAACTGACAAAGCAAATGAAAGCATTCCATACAATTTGATATTTTGCTGTTTTTGTTTAGTTTGTCCAGTTTTGCACGTTTTTGTATGGGGGGAATTTTCAATATAATCTGTCTATCCCTTATCTTAAATTTACTTAACATTGGATTCTCTTTGCAAAATGCTTGCTCCAATTTTATAGCAATAGACCAATATTTATTTATAGAAGGTGCTAAAAAGTGGAGCAAATTTAAAATTATATTGAAGCTTCCAGTCCTTTCTTTGTTCATAATGGGTTTCTTTATACAGATTTTGAAACATTGAAAATATTTTTTCGATCATAAAATTTTTTTGTTTTCAGTGAACTATCTTGGTGCAGCTGACAAGTCAAATGAAAGCAGTCCATACAATTTGATTGCTGTGTACATTATATTGTCATTTTTGCAAGGAGGAGGGATTGGTGAGCTTTTGAAATTTCTCGTAATTTTCTCAAATCTTATATTTTGCAACCTTTTATAATAAATTGTGAACTGATTTTTGAATTATTGGTTGAAAAACTGTAAATTTTCCCCGCGACAATTCTGAAGTGTCTACAAGTGTCAAAATAGCAATGCTGCTACGCACTTTTAACGAGGAATGTCTAGATTTTATATCAAAAGGGGCCTTGTCACATGCAATTTAGAATCCCTAAGAGGAAAGAGACAATTTCATTACAGCCTGGTTTTTAATGCTAATTTTTCTACTATGAACCTTTACACCATGAAATATCTTGCATCGGTATACAATGCTGTTCCTACACTCACAGCAGTGGCGGGGGCGAGGGGCGCGAGGGGGGCGAGGAGGCGGATGACCTGGTCTTTCGCTCTAAAACAACGGGAAATTGTGACATCATTTTACTGCTTTTCATTTGGATGACATGAGATCATTTGTATCAACAATGCAATATAATTTTGTTGCCTCAATAAACCATGTTGATTATTCACCTTTAGGATCAATGGGTGTCCTGAATAACATCCGATCGTTTGTTTGGATTAACGTTCAGCAGTATACAAGTAAAGCCGTACAGGTCCAGTTGTTTAATCACTTGCACCGTTTGTCGTTGCGTTGGCACTTGGGAAGGAAAACAGGCGAGGTCATTCGCATGGTGGATCGTGGAGCAACAAGCATTGACAGCTTGCTGAGGTTTGTACCGAATATTTGTGTTGTGTGTGAAAGGTCTGATGATAAAATGCTACTGATGAGTTCATTTTAACTAGTCTGATGACTAGTCTGATGGTTATTTCAGCCCCAAATTGCGTGATTGGGTACAATGACAGGAACCATGTGTAATAAACAGCCACCATCGTCTCTCTTTGCTTTTTTCTTGGAATACATTCGCCAGAAACACCCGTTTGCAAGCATTTATGTCGTCCAGACAGTGGCGGTGCCAGGGGGTGGTATGGGGGAGTAATTACTCCCCCCCACTTTTTTCGAAACATGGCCTACATATTTCTTCTAAAAACGGGTTAGAAAGCACTAGGTAGGGATAGATCATATTTCCTAAGGAAATTTGACCTGGTACAAAGCACTGAAACGAGGCGATTAGGGCGTGGTATCACTGGCCACACCCATTACCCTCCCACTCGGCAGTATTTGGCGCCGCCACTGCGTCAAGATTAAGTCATTTTAAGGAAAACTGGACGAATAAATAGGCCTATTCAGTGTGTGTGCAAATTCATTTTAACCTGACTTTTTGTTTATCATAATATCTATAGTAAATGTAATTGATTAAAACTACTTTGCTAGCTGGTTGGGTGGGATTGTAAAAAGACAAATATCTGCATATGAAATCGTGTACATTTGTCAATCAGAATAGGTTCGTATGTAATGAGCATCGAATTAAAAACGAGTCTCTCTAGATTCTTGAAGTGGTTCTTATTTGTCTATAGGGTTTGAACCAGGGCACTAATTCAAAGTTTTGGATGTAAAAATAGCATCAGATTAATAGGTACCATGGTTTGACAGCAATTCTGATTTCATTAGTTTTTAAATGCATACCTATTCCAGCTTTTAAGTAGGACCAGACTATATGGTGGTGTCTAAGTGCAAATGTTCCGACTACAGGTTCTGAAAAGCCAGATTCTTCATACGGTTTTGTTATTTTAGTATAGCAAGATGCGAAATTTATTGTTATCTATCTGCATTTTATTCCAGCTATATTTTGTTTCAAATATTCCCCACTATCGCAGACATTGGGGTAGCCGTTGTATTCTTTGCAACAGCCTTCAATGGCTGGTTTGCCCTCATCGTCTTCCTTACTATGGTTCTGTATCTACGTAAGTTCAGCTTTTTCTTCCTTGCATTGATATACCTGTCCTTTTTGCTGGCTCATCCTTTCAAGTAACAATATTCGCTTTGGTGTATAGATTGGAGCATTTGTAGTTGTTACTCCCAGTTTCACGTACACTACAGCACCTTGAATATGGCATAAGCATCCGACAATTGACTAAATATTTTATCTGTCATTATACTGTACAAATAAACTGGCATTATAATCTTGATTGAAACAACTGTTTAGATATCCTTTATATTGTATTTTCAAATTCTTCTTTCATTTTGATTCCTTGTTCTCACCGTCCTATTACTAGGTGCTGTGGAAGTTAGACATAATCAGTTTGTTTATATATTGCGTCATATCTTTGATTCAATTTTACCCACCAAAAACAACTTTGCTCGCCGCTTATTTTCTTGTAATTAAGTGTAATTAAGCATTTTTCATTTTCAGCTTCTTTTTATGAAAAATGTTTTTCTCAACTTTCATCACATTTGTGTTTTTTACTGTTTTGCAGTCACTACGGTAATAATCACAGAGTGGAGAACGAAATTTCGAAGAGAGATGAACGAAAGAGATAACGTCACTAAAGCGAAAGCCGTCGACTCGTTGTTAAATTTCGAAACAGTGAGTGGTGCATCCAGTATACCCTTTATTTAGATAAATAGACCTCGGAAGTATTTAAATTTTTTTGAAATTTTGATCAATATAATCCAAAGTCATTAAAAACTGTGAGTGTGCGAATAAAGGAGAGGCCACGATAGTAGGCTGTTTGACGGACTCCGGAGGAAATCTTGCGGCGAAAAATCGATAAAATAGTAGTATATAAGGAACACCGCAAGGCGACGAGAATAAACAACATTAAACACACAAATCAGTGATGGCTAATATTTCGCCCCGGCATTCGGGGCTTCATCAGAGCAAAAGTAAACGAACTAAAAATTTACAAATTTCAAAGAGGCGATGGTACCTCTGAATATGCAAAATGAGTTGAATGTGTTGCAAATGGGCTGCGACATGACCACATTAGCACAGGCTCTTGCCCCATCAAACCTCTGTAAATTAGTCTGTAATTACGTCAGCAAACTTTGATATTTTAAGCAATACTTTTAATTTTTTTGCGCCGTAATTGTATATTCATAAGGACGGTCAAAACAGAGTCTAATTATATAGAAAGTGAGCCACATGGTCAGGTAACAAATGAAAAATTGCTATCCAGGTCAAATACTACAACAACGAACTCTTCGAAGGAGAGAGGTACACAGAGGCAATCCAGGCTTATCAGGTATGTCTTTCAGCACAATCTTGCCATTTCTAACTGTTTGTGGTTTTTTCTTCTTAATCTAAATATCTGAAAGTTTGGCAGCTTTTGGGGAAATACTCTTATGTTTATTGAAAAACTAGAACATTTATTGGACGTCATAAACTAAAGATTTATATTTGAATTGTTTGTAAGCCAGAATACGCCCGTTTTTTAACATACTTCAAGCAATTTTTTAGCCAATATGAGGTTATAATATTGATAAAGCAAAAAAGTGTGTATTGTTGTCATCCTCCTGCTACAGATATAAAACCAAATAAGTCTTTGTTGCCGCAACATTCGAAAATAGTATGGAAGAGCGGAAACATATACCGAAGTATTTTTCACCTGACACGTTTTAGAGTATAAACGCCTGTGGACGTTAGCTAAAGTTTGTACTCTAAGGTGTATCGGGTGAAAAATGCTTTATTATAGTACATTATAGTGCAAATGTCTCCGCTCTTTCGTGTTACGAATATTATCAAACTTTTGCTTTCTTGGAATTGAGTTGCTAAATTCTTCTTGAATGTTTATGTTTAGAATTGCCAATGGAAGGCTTTAGCCTCACTCAATATTCTCAACACATCACAAAACTTGGTCATCACTTCTGGATTAGTTGCTGGTACATTATACTGTGCACATCTTGTAATGATTGGACATTTCAAGGTTGGTTGTTTCAGTTAAAGCGATGTTCTTCATAACTATCTGTATATGAAATTAAATCAATGCTTTAAATTGAAATTCGATTGCCTACTTTAACGTAGATACTAGTTTTGTTTCCCTATACGTTCCTGTTGGTTAAAAACCGAAATGTCCTTTTTTCGTAGGTTGGTGATTTTGTGTTGTTTATCACTTACATGAAGCAGCTCTACATGCCTTTGAATTTCTTTGGAACATACTATCGGTAGGTGAAAACCAGAGATTGAATATTCTTAAATATATTTATCCTGTATAAAGCTAACAGAAAAGCGGCAGAGATTGACTGCGAAATTATAGGAAATAAACCAAGACTTCTTATCGTATTCGTGTGTCTATGATTCCTATTGATTTTCTTATTCGATATTTCTTGCATTCAGGTTAGTAGTGATTGAAAATTTCAAATTGTTTAATCTCTTTGCCCCACGAAAGACATCTTTGCTTTTTTAAGCTGCCTATGGACTTCGTGAACCCAAAAGTAATTCATCTTGAATCCGAGCTGAAGGCATCTGATATTCCTAGCATCAAGATTCGTTAATCATGCCAGTATATCACTAATTTTAAGATATCTACTCGAGGAATTAATATCATTTCTATTAGTTTTTTGTCACATTATGCACCCGATTTCTAAGTGGTGCATACTTTTTTGAAGTATATTAATTCATTATGATTTTTCTTAGAGCTTGCAGTAATAAGTTGCAATGTGTTACTTAGCCCTTATAAGCACTGCACTATTTTGTTATTTTTTGTTTGTTGACAAACTTATATAATACCTTGCTCTCTACCTTTTTAGTATGATTCAAACAGCATTTATTGACATGGAAAACATGTTTGAGTTGCTGAAAGAAGATGTAGAGGTAATTGCAACGCCGTTACTCTTGCAAATCTGTTGCCAAAATGTGCTCTTGATATTCAAACTTCTTCATCTGTATTAGCTTGGTGTTCTCTTCGTATAGAAACTTTATTTGGTTTTTCCTAGCGGTCAACGTTCACTTGAAACCGAGCGATACCAGTCAACAGGGTTTGGAAGCTGGCCTGATATTGTAAAAGGCTTTGAAATTTGCCTGACAAGTTCCATAGTTTCAAAGTTATATCGAGATTTTTATTTCATCTTAGTAATATCTAACAATACACCCACATTTCCTTTTAAAAAATAAAGTAAAAGAGAATAATTTTTTATGGCACCTTTCTCTCTCTTTCCATCTAACAATTTTTTAAATCCTTTTTTTATTTTTCTAAGAGTACATTCTAATGTGTTTGATTTTGATTACACATTAAACATTTATTTGATAGGTTAAAGATCGTGATGATGTAACGAATCTTCATTTAACCAATGGAAAAGTCCAGTTTAAAAATGTAACATTTGGTTATGATCCAAGGTATGATTGCTTTCAATGTGAAGCTTTGATAGATATCGTGATATCTTAAAAAGGAGGACGCTGAAAGAAGCCTTTTTGATTTATCTTAGTCATGTCCTCTTAATTAATGATGATTCTTCAAGAAGGTGCTTTATACGAGAAGTTTTTGTAACCACTTTTTACTTTTGCTTCGAAACTGGCTTTTTGTTTTCTGTCATTTAATCTTATTAATCGGCTGTGGGTAACAAACCACTAAAGCCCCGGCAAAACGACTGGACATTTTCACTGAACATGCACTGGACAAATATCCAGCGTAAATGTTGCGTCGTTTTGCCACCTTGTCCAGTCTTGTTCAGCGATGTTGAGTGTTGTTCAGTCGATTTTGAAGGTAGTCAAAAATGTTCAGTGGACAGGATTAAAATTCTTTTGTTCGTAGATGTTGTAGAGAAATGTTCAGTCGTTTTGCCACTCTACTGAACATTGTCCAGTTCGCGCACGCGCAATGAATGTAATTGATAGGATTTGGCGCGAATTTATTTCCATTATTCAAATCTTCAACAAGCTTTAAACACGGTGGGAAGAAATGGAATCAACATTAAACTTCAATTCGACGAAGAGCAGGAAAAGGCATTTCATTTGTAACGAAGAGTCGGCTGAAGATATTAACTTTAGTTCCGATGAGGAAAGCGATGGCAGAGGGCACGATTACGGCGATTTTTACGAGCCTGGCAGGCCTAACCATTCTCCCATAATAAACTCTTCTTCGGACGACGATGCGGTTAGGGCTATGAACAGTGTATTATCAAAAGTAAAGAGGGTCTCAAAAGCTAAAAAAAGAAAGAGCAATAATCCTGGCATCATTAAATGCAACACCAGGAAACCCAGTGCTGATAAAAGGCCAGGAAATGAAAATTGCAGTATTCAGGAGAGCAACATGATAGAAAAGCAAGCCAAACCAGATGCTACAGTAGGAAGAAAGCAAACCCAGAAAGAAACAAAGAAGTGGTCGAATGATGATGTGGCACTGCTGATCGATCTTTTGGAAGAAAGAGCTTGCTTGTGGAATGTTTATGACAAATCATACCATCTTAAACACACAAGGGAAAGGGCTTTGTCTGAGATGAGTGGTTCTTTGGATGCCTCACCAGCAGAAATCAAGACAAAAATTCTAACTTTGAGATCTCAACTTGGCAGAGAGATAAGCAAAGTGAATAAAACTAAATCTGGCCAAAGCACAGATCAACTTTACAAATCAACATGGATTTATTGGGAGAGGCTCCAGTTTTTGCGTCCTGTGCTTCAGCCAGGAAAGAGCAGAGACAGTTTACAAGGCTCTCTCCATGAAACTGAAAATGAGAACCCAGAACTTGACAAGAGATCAGATGGTGATGTCTCAAAATCAGCCAAAAGTCAAAATTCAGCCCCAAAATTGAAAAAGGCAGCAATGGAAGAAAAGAAGGTTGAACTGATAAATACATGTATAGCTGCCTTGAAAGTACCAGAAAAGCAACCAGAACAGTGCCATTTTTCACTTTTTATATCAGAAAAGTTGCGTTCATTTGACCACAGAGCAAGAGTGTTAGCAGAAAAGAGAATCAGTGATGTCATTTTTGATATAGAAATGAATGGATCAAACATGCAGATGCCAACAGCTACTAATAACAGCTATGCTGCTTCTGTTAATCAAACACAGTATCCACCAAATCAAAACCAATATGGACACACAAGCATGGAAATGTCAACTGGATCATATTTAACTATGTTAAATTAACATTTTGTTTTGAGCTTGAACAAACCTCAATATATTAAATTACCATTTTGCTCTTTAAACTTACCTTGATTAACAAATATAATAATTAATTTAATTCCACACATCATAATAAACCATTTTATGTCTCCTATTTGTATATCATGAATATATTTAGAATTTACCCATGTTGTTACATATTCTTGCATGTAAACATCTTCTTTAGGGAAGGAAAACTAAGATAACTAAGATTAGAATCCATAGAACTAAAGATGATAGCGGTATGATTACAAATCATATGACCAGAAAATGTTGAACTATGAAAATTTTGAACTTTCTTAATTGCTTGAATATTGATATTGCTTGGGCCTCGCACATACTTTTCTCATCAAAGAAAGGGAACATTCAACATTTTGTGGAAACTTTTTCAATATTTGCAAATTATGGTGGAAACAGGAACAATACACACCCCAGTACATTAAACCTGAATGAAAACTCTTGAGAGGTTTTAATTACAGGAAAATTTGTCAATGCATACAAAGCCTCATGACTTACAACATAGCTGGCAATGTTGAGCTCGCATGTATGGTCTATTGATAAAGTGGCAACAGTAGCAGAGGTATAAGTAATCATAGTACTGCTTCTCAGAACTAATTTCAAAAGATGATTGTTTATCATAACTGTACTTTAGCCTTGTAGCAGTGTATTCTAAATTTATGAGCATTAAAAAAGGTTCTCCAAACATTTTTCTTTTTTATTCAAAAAAAAAACAAAGCAACAATTCAAGTTTCAAGGAAAATTTGCTGGCAATCTGAGACATACCTATCTAGCTAATATATATCTGTCAGGAAATCTCATGAATAAACATCTTATGTGAACCTAATCAAGTTAATGTAATGATTTTCTGGGATCAAAAATGCATCAGATAGTCAGTTTTACAAGAAAAAACAACTTCTATAAGATATCATATCATTTATCATATCTCCTTTTCACAACATACTTAAACTTTTTTCAAGTCATTTTTCCCACTGCCATTCAACTGCACCCTCATTACAGAAGAAATCTTTTAGACAGTCCCTAACCTCTTTTGCATTCATACTTGCATTGTGACCAGTAGAAGGAACAGCTAGTGGTAGCATTGATTCCCCTGGATTTCCTGATTGCCAGTGCCCTAGAATAGTTTCACCGTCCCTTCCAACATTGTCAGTAAGATTAGATGGGCAATAAGTACCTTTAGAGTCACTCTGCCTTAAAAAGTTGTGAATTGTGAGTGTAGCCATTGTGAGATATTCAATTGTTGTTGGTGGAAGTAAAATTACTGATCGAAATACACGCCAACGATTGGCAATGATTCCAAAGAGGTTTTCTGATATCCTCCGGGCCCTGCTGTGACGATAATTGTAAATTCGTTTGGCTTCATCTAATCCTGCTTGGGGGTAAGGCTTCATTACAGTAGGCTTCAATGCAAATGCATCATCTGCAACAAGGACATAAGGAATTTCCTTGACACCAAATGGGAGGCAACTTGGAGGGGGCAGGGTAATTTCACTATTTCAAAGCTTTTGCAAAAACTACTTTTATTCCATATACCACCATCAGAAACACGACCATTTGTTCCAACATCTGCATATATGCACTCATAATCTGGACCAGCTATCGCCATCAAAACAACTGAATGCGTGTGTTTATAGTTATAATATTTGGAACCAGCATCGGGTGGTGGTTGCATTACCAAGTGCTTTCCATCAATGGCACCAATACAATTGGGGAATTGCCATCTCTCATAAAACTTGTTTGCAATGGCGAGCCATTCTTCCTCACTGCTGGGGACTTTCAAATACACTGGCTCCATATTCTTAATGATTGCCTGACAAACACTTGTAACTATGTAGGAAATTGCAGGTCTTGATATTCGAAATTGAAAGGCTAGTGAACGGAAAGTTTCTCCTGTTGCAAGAAATCGTAATGCAAGAGTTAACCTTGCCTTTGCATTTATTACTGTGTTACCTCCAATTATTTGGTGTGGAGTGATGTCCTTTTCGATAAAGTTCAATATAACAAGGAAATCCTCGTGTTTCATTCTCATCATTTCCCTGTAGGCCGCGCTATCCTCCACGGTCAGTTCTGTTACGATATTTTCAAACAGACCTCTTTCTTCTCGTCTCTTTACCCACTGCCTCGTCTTTCCACGGCTTCTTTTGGCACCCTCATCTTCATCGTCAACAAGATCTAAAACAGTCAGGATCATAGCAACTTTTCGTTTGCAATCCATAATCATTGATGTCAAAATTGCAGAGATGTCACTATCTCCTTGGCGCCCTGTAGCTAGTTTTCCCGCGCGCATTCTTCCACACTGCAAAAGTTCACTGGACAATGTTCAGTCGTTTTGCCACCACCAAAATTTTCTGGATGTCCACACACTGAACAATTGAGAAATGATCAGTGCATTACCAGTGCAAATGTCCAGTCGTTTTGCCGGGGCTTAAGGTATCATATCACAAGAGTATAGCGTTTAATAGTTATGGGCCCGTTGTTTACATGATATTGGGTTTTCTTGCTTCTTGAAAAAGCCATCTTGAGCTGGAACTCTCATTCTCCGTCTTGGCCAGATGTAAAGTGACAGAGTGGTTACGTCGTAAAACCTATTTTTAGAACTTTGAGCACTTAGCCTGAAAGAAACGTGAAACACCTCCATAATACTAAATCAGCTAGATATGTTACCGGTTGCGTGAAATATGGCCACATGAGCACAGGCCCCTTCCCCATAAGGCCACTGTACTTTTAACACATAAACCAGACAAAGTCGAGTCTTCACTGACGAGCCAAAGTTAAGTCGATTTTTCTGGAAATATAAAACAGATATTACTAAATTTTCACATATAGAGGTATTTCCCTTGTCTTTGACCTTACTACTTTCCAAAAGATTCATTCTGTGATTTCCATTCTAGCAAACTCATACTGAGGAACATCTCCTTCGACGTCTTTCCAGGACAGACTGTTGCCTTGGTAAGAATGAAATTAAGCTGTGTTTTGTGACTTTTTTCTGATTCAAGCAATCTGTGGTCTGTACGTATGCTTTGCAATGTATTACTAAATCACCTGTGGAAAATTGCTGCTTTGAAATTATTAATGTTGGTCCCCTGGCTCTTCATTATGAAACTTGAAGATGCAAAATTGTTCTCGAAATTTGAAATTAGTTACAGTATCTAGTATTGACCACTTTTCATTATAGTGGTGCCTTTCTTGTCGACTGTGAAATGTACAAATGCTGCTATATAGTTCCTTTCGAGCTAGTCCCTTCATGTATGATACTGTTGAATACAAGCCCGTGTGTGGTACTGTTGAGTATCATGCGATTACTGTTGAATATCAGTCCAGATTACAAATGCTTAGTATTCTGTAGTAATGTCTCGAAAACTTTAATAGATTCTAATCATTTTTGAACCAGTGGACGAAGTATGCATATGGTTACCTAGCAGTTTTTTCAATTATGAACTCTTTATATATTCCGTGTTACCTAGCATATTACGTACCCTTGACTTTCTTTCATACAAAATCATTTTACAGGTTGGTCCATCTGGCAGTGGTAAAAGCACCATCATTCGATTGCTGTTCAGGTTCTATGATCTGTTTTCGGGAGCAATTTATATTGATGATCAAAATATCGAAAGTGTGAGTTGCATCTCTGTTTTAATACACTGTCTTCCAGCCAAAATTTAAAGACACACGACGGTTATAAAATGTGTCTTGTGCCAGGGATCTGGGCAAGCTAAAAATAACAGCCAACGGGCGTCGGTTGTGGATTTTGCATGTGATTGCTTGTTCATATTTTGTTTCGCTCTTTTGTCAAGCGATAGGACAATTATTCGTGAAGCAATAGGAAGCCAAGAGATTTCACAGTTTGATAACAACAAAATGGAATAGCATTGTTTGGCAACTAGCCTTTTTCACGGATTTTATAACCTTGGAGCTATTCTTTATAGCTGCCTTGTGCCTTTCATTGAATAGGCTTGGCAAAGCGGAAAGCTTCTTCTGCACTGTGTGCGTAAAACTTCCATTGCAAATGGTAATTGTTTTTTTATACATTGATGGGTGGTTGAACAAAATTGCTTCCGTTGGATTTCTGCTACTTTTTCAAGCTGTTTATGCATAAATCTTTTTTTGATACAAATTTTTAAGCTTTCCTTCAATCGCTATTAATCAGCTGTTATTGTATGGCTTATCCCCTTGTAATAAACTATACTAGATTAGTATACAAATATAGTGCGATGACATTGCAAACTGTTCTGATGATGATTGAAGAATGACAATGTAATTTTATAGTTTGATGTTTCTTGAGATATCCTAGCAAGGGTCATGAGTGCTTTGCTGTGCAATTTTGAAGTGTATCTATGTATTAGAGCCTGCGTTACATGAGGACCCATAGACGTTCGTTTTCTTTGAAGACAGGAATTATGTTCATTTCTTTGATATTTTACGGCCATATTTAAATTCTATCATTTCCTCATGCATTTCAGTACAGTAAAAAGGTTACTGCAGATTATGTTTGTTTTGATTTGCTGTATCATTTTGTAAGATAATTGAGTCCTCACAACTAGACAACTTTGCCCATTTCTTAGTAATTGTTAAAGTCAACCCACCCTCCAGGTTTCTCAACGATCACTGCGACAGTACATTGGTGTTGTTCCACAAGACACGGTCCTTTTTAATGACACTATCAGGTAAGATGTTGAAGGGCAGTAAGATTTGATCTTTTAGTTTTGTATTTTCTAGCTTTATTGACACTTATTTCTACTTTTCTATTATTTCATTAACGTGAAAATGTTGATATTAGAAAAGAAAACAATATTTCAGTAAAATGAAGGCAGTATTTTATGATGACGAAGCAAAATGTTAGAATGTGACATTCTGCTTATTGAAAAAGATTCAGCAAGTAACATTTTCCAACATTTTCATGAAAGTATGTTACTAATCAACATATACTTCGTTACCTTTCGCTACATCATAGAAGATCTACGACTAGAGGTAGCGAAGCATGTGTAAAAGTTTTTCGTAGATAATGCGGTAAAACGTTTTTAGTAAAAGTTTTTATGAGGTCTTTAAGTTCAAAGAGGGTCACCACATTTCCTGCAATGGCCTATTAGAAATGAAGTAGCAAATCTGTTTGGTTCAATCTGATGTGTGATCTGTGTTTCTGTTTTTGGCCATTCACCTCATTAATGGGATACTTGTCCAATTCTTCCATTGGCTGGATTGCTCAGGGAAGCGCATGTAATAGCTTTCTTAGTCTTCAATCATTGTTTTGTTGGGCCTATTAGAAATCAAGTGGCAAATCTGTCTGGTTCAATCTGATGTGTGATCTGTGTTTCTGTTTTTGTCCATTCACCTCATTTATGGGATACTTTACCAATTCTTCCATTGGTTGGATTGCTCAGGGAAGCGCATGTAATAGCTTTCTTAGTCTTCATTCATTGTATTGTTGGGTAGGCCTTGAGAAGTGAATGAAATCAAGAATGGTCATGTGACTCGATTGCTCTGTTGCCGATTTTGAATGTGATTAGAAAATAGCAAAACATGCGAACGCTTTAAACAGCGGAAATGGAGCAAGTGTCCGCTGCCAGCAGGCGGCAATGCGAAAGCCAAAGAGCTCGCAATTTGTATGCTCGCTCCTGTGCAATGAATTGCAACGATTTAATCTGCCTTTTTCATGAACTTAGAAAATACAGCCTGCTGATTTGATTGAAAAATCTATTGATTGCCTTTCTAAACAACTGTAAATTATAATCAATAGCAAACATTATAAGAGGGACATCTTTCTGATAATCGTAAATTTTGCTTTCTGCTAGATACAATATAAGATACGGGAGAGTGGAAGCACCAGATGAGGAAATCGATCAGTCAGCCGAGGCAGCTGATATTCACGAGAAAGTGCTGACACTCAAAGACGGTAATTTTTTCTACATGCTTAAACACTTTAGGTTGCATCATGTACTGTTTTTTTCAGCTGAAGTAACCATCCAGTCCACAAATTTTCCTTTCTCGATTTTACCAACCAATTTCTTTATAAAGATCTCTTAAAAATATGCCATAGAATTTATATAGCAAACAGGTTGAGAATTTTCTTTGTCCATATCACTTTCTCTCTATTGAGTGATGAAAATATCTGAAATACAGAATTCATAATTGCTGTTATTAAAATGGTCAAACCTTCAGAAAACTTGACTTGAATTTGATCTTGTAGATAAGCATGATGCTCTTATAAAGCAGATATTATCGTTCTTCAAGTAATTTTGTTACTCCAAATCTATACAGTTTTCTGTTTTAAAGTATTATGCATTTTCAAAGCACCACATACTCGATATTTTGAAGCAATCTGCTTTTTTCAATTGCAAATCAAACGCGTATATTTCAAACTTTGACCCCACAAGATGCCCATAATTTGATTGAAGTCGAAAGTTTTGAGAGTATAATTATGTTTGAAAAGTATCCTATGATAATATTATTGACCTAGCCTCAATATTCCAAGCATCAATTTATACATTATATGAATAATTTTCCAGGTTATAACACAATTGTTGGCGAAAGAGGACTAAAGCTTAGCGGGGGAGAAAAGCAGCGAGTGGCAATTGCCCGTACAATACTTAAAGCTCCATCGATTGTTCTCTTAGATGAAGTAAGTTAGGTTCAATTTCGTTTCACTTTCAATTCGTTTTTAAAATACTCTAGGTTTGGTTAACTTTTAGGAACCCTGAGTGTTGTAAGGAACTTGTTTCCTATAATGACTTGATTAGACTGTGATTCGAACCTAGCTCTCTGGAAGTCTATATCTCTTACTGCTATTAGCGTTTTTTGCATTCTCCATTGTTTTACAGTTTTTTTGTTTACGAGAGAAACTATTCCTGGAATTTTTAACATTTGTGTAGAAAACTTTCATTAGAAGAACATTGCTGGAGAGCCTTCTTTGATTTTTGAAGATTTTCTAACTTTTTTCTGCCCAAGCAAATTGTAATGGGATCTTGAATCTTTCTTTCAAAATAATCGTACATTGATCGTTGTCCTTATCTTCTAATCCTGAAATTCTTTACTATACCTTTCACATTTATCTTAATTTTACTGCCACTTGAATTCAACTTAGGCAACATCAGCACTCGACACGCGGACAGAAAGGAATATTCAGGCTTCGCTTGACAAAGTTTGCAGCAATCGTACCACAGTTGTAGTGGCCCACAGGTATATTTACTAATGACTGCTTTATCGCCAGTAGCGTATATCCCTTTGTTACTCATCTGTAGATTTTGCTACAGCACTTAACTATATGTTAACCTGGCCTGAATTTCCTAGAAGAATTCTTAATCTCTTGTTTTATGTCAATGTGAGTTATTTTAAGACTGTATTAAGAGAAAATGTTGCTGCTAGAAAAACTGAGCAAAAAAAAATTGTTTTTTTGATATCAAGCATACGCGTTAAGCCAAAAACCCAGTCCGGAAAATGATCCGCGGATCGGAACAGATTTTGTGTTGCGCACGCGCTATGGATGCAAAAATGGTCACATGACTGATCCGCGACGGATCGAAAAAAAAGTTGAAATCATTTCAACTTTTTTTGAACCGTTCCGGTACACTAGTTTTTTTTGAGCAAAATCGAATTAGAACTTTTTAAACAATAGAGTTCATGAATTCATGACTTGCGTCATGAATTCCAGTCTGAAACGATTCGCGAATCGAACGGAACTGATCATAACAACACGATCTGATCCGATCCGCGGATCGTTTTCCAGAGTGGGTTTTCGGCTTTAAGCTGCAGTTTTTCCACTTTGTTAGAAATTAGTTATTTAAAATTCCCTTTGAAAACTCCTAGGTAATAAATTCTTGCCTGATTCATAGTCACAATTTTCCACCCATTCTTTTGTTTTGCCTTTATTTCTACCTATAAAAAGGTTCACTTCCGTCAGACATGTGGATAGAAATGGCCAAGAAGATTGGCCTTTATCCGCCTTTGATTAAGACAATCATTTTTTTTATTTTATGATAGTTCATGGATAAAATCATGTTTGTATGCAAGATGAATAAGTTTTCATTGCTCAACTGCCAATTTATTGCCAGGTTGATGCTTTTACCCACCCTGGTGTTGTTAACCCCAGTTTCGTTTACATTACTAATCCTCCTTTTCAGGCTCTCGACAATTGTTAATGCTGACCAAATTTTAGTAATTAAAGATGGAGAAATCGTCGAAAGAGGAAGGTGAGATATGAAACATTTTACAAAGAATCAGGCAAAAGGACACAGTTGAGCCTTTAATGATAATTTTATGTCCCTTGTCATAACATTTTTATAATAAGTTCATTTTAAATTTCAATCGTCTGTCTTGGTCAGACGAAATTTGATGTGAGAGTTTCATTTAAGTAGTTTTTTTAAATCCAGTTATATGTCATTATCCAGGCACGACGAGCTGCTGAACATAGATGGGCTCTATGCCGAGATGTGGATGCAGCAGTTGCAAGGAGATTCACTTGAATCGAAGATCAGTGACGAGAGCAATGGCAGTGATTGAGCCTCCACGATTTACAAGACATAAAGCTGATTATGAAAAACTAGCCTAGAAAGGTACAGTGTAACGCAAATATGACTTATTCCATTCAGACTTAACTCGTACTCTTTGATCAGCTAAGAAAAGTAAATCACTGCATTCTTTTTTAATATTATTCAATTGTTGTTTTGTTGTCCTTTTGTAGCCAGTAGTTGATGTGAACAGCAATTCGCATACTTGGCTCGTAATTCTAATATAACGTGGCTTATAAAAGTCCATTGCATGCCATTTTCAGACTGTTGCTTCACAGAGTGCCAATCTGCCACTCTGCAAATGAAAAGGCGACGCTTTCCATCACCTCAAAAAGCATTCACAAAATCACCCCCCCCCCCCAATCCTCACCCAACTAGTTTTGCCCCACCTGTCATTGGACCCGATCTTGCCACCTTGGCTACGATGAGGCCGGCCTCCCCCTTCCCTACTTTTTAAATGGTAATAGGTCCAAATATACGTTTAGGTCTATGGCTACTCGTGGATGTTGAAGGGTAGTTGAAAACAAATTAATTTCTCTGATTCCTCTTCAGTCGAGGTCCCGCATTTATTTTCCGCATTTCCATTCCCGCTCTATTTTGGTCCGGTATTTAGCTTGTGAATCATAATCCGGTACTGTTTTTAAATGTAACATATTTTATATTAATTTTCCTTGCTATTTTTTGCATTATATACATTGACATAAATAAAATTAGCAAAACATTTGTTAATAGGTCGTAGCAACTCTCTCACGCGTGCATTTCACCTTTTTTTCATTATAATTGCTTTATATCAAAATTTCCATTCTTTTTGCAATTTTTTTCCAAAGACTTGCTTAGAATAGAGCGATGTCTGGTCAAGTTCAAATTTGGACACTCCCATTGGACCATTTGAGTAAAAGCCAAGGAAAATTTTTTTTGAACAGGTTCAGCAATAGAAATTTGTAGCCTTTCTGCAAAATTCGTCAAAAATGCGTTCAATTTGAAAATATTGCCGTTATGAAGAACTCGATTACATAAGTGTCCTTAATCTCAATTTAAAGTTTAAACAGAATTTTCCGAGAGAATTTTTTTCGATAATGCTTCACTCTGCTTTATTAATTGATTCTCTCCCCCACCCCAGATTTTTCCTGCTCGCCTTTTTGAATGATATTTAGACTTTTATAAACATACTTGATTGCTTGTTGCTTTATATCAAGTAGCAATATAACTTTGAATAAAATTTTACGCAAAATAACGAACTATGTTGTCGATATTTCGAAAATTGCGTGTTGACTTAGTCATGGGCGATGCTTAAAACCACGTTAATGATATATCACAGCCACACCCAAACTCAAGATGAAATACCCTAACATGTGCCCTATAAAGGAATTTTCAAAATATGCCATGTCCCTTTGCGATCCTTCTTTTTTGCAGACTTTCTAGCAAAAATGTTAGTATCTTTAAAAACAATGAACGTAAAACTGGGAAATTCAATTTTTCTCATCAACAAAGGTTCAAAAGGCAATCTTCCTATGAAGCTTTTAGCATTTACAACAGAACACGTGGGACAAGATCACGGGCTTGAAATATTTTCATGCTAGCTGAAAAACATTCCAGCGTAAACAAAATACATGATAGATTAGAGAAGATACTGTGTAACAAATGTGCAGTACAAAATTAGAACTGGTAAAAAGTATATATAAACAGCAGATAAGTAGAAAACATATTTGCAGTAAAGAATTCGCTGTGTTAAATGCTGTTTTCTGTGCATGGGTGAACACTGCGCCCATCTTCGGCCATATCCTGAAGCAAGATGGCTTTGTCTTCTACACGAACATTAGCAATGCATCCAGTGTATGAGTTCTTATATTTTTGGCCAGTCAACGCAGCGACGTCTTTACCACCACCTAAATGGAAGAAGTATTTATATTAAATTTATTTAAACAAACCTTTTATTACCTTACTTGTCAAAGCACCGTTCCACTGAATTTCATACACTGGATTTCATTCACTGGATAGGCCCAAATGCTCTATCGAGTCACACGATGTTTTCAAATCAGCTAATAAGACTCCACAAAAACTAAACACCTCATTCCCCACTCTCTCAAATTAAAGAACTGTTTAAAAAACGTCTTCTGGCCTCCTTATGAGAGCCTCTTTTCAAAAAGGGATTCAAAACGTTGCCAGCCTCTTTTAGAAACTTTCACTTACTCGGCTTTCTCTCCCTTCTTTTGCAGTGTCACCATTTTTTACAGTGCTTCAATCTTATTTTGCTTATCACAATTCTCGCTAAAAAGAAGCGACGGTAGCAGTTACTCAAATCTCAATCATTTGGAACTGTCCCTTTCCTCTTCTTTTTTCAAAACCTGCGTCCCGTCTTTGCAGAATTCGACATTTGAGCAGATAATTTCATTATGATAACGTCCCTTACTCACTTTACTCCTTTTTCTGAATTTTTCTAGCAATAGCCCGTGGTAATTAACATAAATATTTACTTTAATTTTTTTAAAACGACCCTTTCAATAAAAAACCAACTGGATTAGCAAAACATCAATAAAATCTACAAAGTCTATGAACAATACATTAACGAGAAGTTGAGGTAAATAGATTTAGCGAAAAGAGCACCCTACAATTTGCTGAAAATTTACTTAACGATACTTTTTAAACATAATAATGCCTGCCTACTACGACGAAGGACTTTGAAATTTCTGGGAAATGATTTTATTCGTTTACTGCTTACCAAAGAACATCGGTGCTTCTATATCCAGATTGGTGTTGATTCCACGTGACTTAGTATGTGCCATATGTTTTCCATCAATGAAAAGAGTTGCATTTCTAGCAGACCTAAGAACAGACGATATTTACTTTCCAAAAATTTTGAGACTGTTGCTTTCATAGGAGTGCCATGGAGCTGGGGGCTGCAGCCCTCTAAGCTAGAGCTGAAAAGATTGTCAAAATTGACATCAGCCCCAAGTTCATGCAACTCGCATGTCTATGGATAGTTTCCAGTTTAAAACTCAACATGTACAGACAGCATAAGTCCTAAGCATGCAAGTCATCCCTCTCGGCGTGAATGAAGAAACGAACGGAGAAGGTGCATTTTGACAAACATTTGATTTCAAACGATTGCTTCCTTTCCATTTATATGGTTTTGTCATTTAATTGTATTGAAAGTTTGCTTCTTTGCATAATTACGTTATTAGGTTTTGGAGCAAACCGTCTCGTTGGCTTCACTGATGAGAGACAAAAATTTTAAAGAAGGTTTTTTGAAAGATTATTCGTGATAATTTATACGAATGGATAAAGCATGGGTGGTCTAAAGAAATCGATTTATAAGCTTGATGTTTAGTTTTGATCTTGATTAAACTGAAGAACTGAGTTAGAAAAACTAAACATAGAAGCATGCTAAAGTCACTCGTAAGAACTTGGTTGTAACTGTTTGTTCAGCATGTATGGTACCAAACAGGTAATTATGGCACCAACTTTTGTCAACTGGATTATATCTGCGAGCAACCTCGGTGTTTTGATTTTGGTCAGTCAATTAAGAAACCTGATTATATTTGAAATGCATATTATGTATGAGAACAGGAGAGTAATGTATGTTATTCTGACAAACAAAATCAATTAAAAGCCGTAAGTCAGGTAAATTCGCTTGGATATCTGGTGAAAGCAAAACGCTTAAAATAAATCAAATGTTTCTGCAAATAGCAATCAATCAACTGTCTGTTCTTTGTCATTTTGTGCCACCAGGGTTTTTAGATTTGGGATGTGGCAGACATCTAAAACTGGAATAGGTTAGAAAATCCACGAAAATCATTAATCAAACTAAATGCGCCAGACTGGATAAGCAGCATTACATTAGTTGACCAGTTCCTGGAGCCAAGAAAAACGTCCGAGAGAAAATGCTCACCTTGGAATAAAGACGCAATGCACTCTACATGTAGATGTAGAGTGTATATTTTGAGCTCGCTGGGTTTCAAGTTGAAGTTGTACCAGTGGCTTTAAATTAATAGCCCCCCTCGTGGGCGTAGCCTTAGCTAAAGGTTTAGGGGGGGGGGTTCATTTAGATAAAGCTTCTCGAATAGCGTCTGAAATGCAATAAAGTTCCAGATAGGTAGGGGGAGGGAGGGGGGGGGCAATGGCCTTCTCGGCCATTTTGTCTTCAACAACTATGGCATTTTTCTTCAGCGCAACCACTGCAGTCATCATAAGAACTGCAGACAAGAAAACTAGTGATTTAGAAATGACTTTTTGTACTGCACTAACAAACATTGCTAATTTGCCACTTGCCACTATAATAGATGTTTTAGGTTCACATTGTACGGTCACTTCAAAACTTTTTTAGAGAAGCAAAGTATTTAAAAGCAGAAATAAAAAATATATTGTTTTGCTTCCATTTTCCTAAAAGACTATATTCCAATGCATACATGGAGTGGTAGGAAGTTGAAAGAAATGCAAGGATGCAGAAAAGGCTCTGTTAACAATCTTCAAAATCGAAACCTTTTTCAGTCCTCTAAAATCATATAGGCTTTTAAAACGGTTTTAAAGTTTATTACTCATCACTGTTCCCATGCTATTATCCTAACCTTCAACAGGCAAACTTCATTACAAATTGGGCTTTTTACATATGCCAGTTTGTAAAAGACAAATTTTATGCTTTGCTGAGAAAAAATATTGAATTTTTCTTTAGTCAGTTATAGACGAAAAAAATTTTTTAACTCATTTCTAATGCTTACCTAGAAATTTTGACTGTATGCCAGCTATTATCATTCAATGGTGTCTTTGTCAGTATCACGGCTAATCCACTTCCAAGCTCGTAGCTAAAAAAAAGAAATATTCTGTTGATCAACTCCATCTTATAGTAACAAAACCGCCAGGGACGCTGGGGTGCAGCCACATCCCAGGCCCATCCCTTCCATTTGCATCAATAGTCGCTTTATTCCATGCTAAAGTTTATCAATCACCCTTTAACATTAACAGAAGAATCGCTTGGAAAGTGACACCAAGTATTTCTGCCAAAGTGACTGCAATTTGCGAAATTCCAGACAATGCAAGAAATTGTGGGAATATTTTCTATCCGTCTTGTTTATTTCTAATTTATGCATTTCAAGATGGGTTTTTAAGTCTGTTGGTCTTTAAAAATGAAGATAAAATGGAAATAAATTATGAGAAAATGATTATAAATTAAAAATGTTTCTATGAGAACCTGACTTCAAGGAATCCACTTTTCAATCCAATACTTAAAAAATCTGGGCTCTTCCCATTTGAAGCATCATTTTGCTGAAATATGAATTAGCAAAAAGACGTTAAAATAAAAGTGGAGATGCTAGTGAAAAATTAAATATAATTAACTTTCATTGGACAGAACGTTACTGAATTTCCTTATAACGAGTGTCAAATCAATGGTTTTTCCTTCCACTATTCCGACAACCAGGTAAAAATATATCATGGTGGATTTTGCCCAGGGTCTTGTCTAGAATTTATTCGAATTTTTGAGTGGTTTCACACGAAGTTATTAGGACAAGCATTTTCAACTTGCAATAAATTAAGACGGGCTACATGCGATCAAGTTTAAAATCTAGAAGCATCAGAGAGCCTTTATTGTTCTTTTTTCGTCAAATCCTTCCAGAAAAGAAGTTGTTTAACTTTATGCTAATAAGTCGTCTGGATTTAACTTTACAGTGAGCTAAATGATGGGATCATAGGATGCAAATATAGAATTAAGTCATTGCAATGTAGTTAAACTGAGGGCTTTCTTGTCGTACAAAATAGTAGTCAAACATTCATAAAGAAACAGCAAAGCATTTTTTAATATAATTTGCAACCAGCCATTAGCACCTGCCGATATCATAAAATAATTTACGTAAATCTTAACTACATTGATTCAATTAGTTCGAGTTTACATCTCTTCTGATGAATTTTTCCATTTTGAACAGAGCTTTTAATTGAAACACCATAATATATGTAAGCTCGTAATAATATTCCATGGTGATTTCAAATCGTATAGACTCCACTGTTAATTAGCACTGGCAAAAGATTTCATTTAAAGAATTAAAGCTTCTCTAGCAATTATGAAAACATTTAGAACTGTAATTAGTAGATTAGAGTTTCTCTTTGATGTAGACACGTCACAGCTGGACATTGAATGACTGCCTACCTAAATTATACAACGCTAATGAAACAGTTGGCCAAAAAAAGTCCAATTATTTTTTATAGTAATAAAATGACGGACGTTTTAGAGATAATTGTCTGATTTTATAGAGATGAGAAGGATGGCAAAAATCTATCTTCTCTAAACGTTTTGCGAAATCATTGTTCTTTACTTTTAAGCTCGAGGTCCTGAAATTTCTAATCTCTCTTCAACTCAAAGAGAAATTCCTACTCGATATGATCTCTATGCTTTCAGTTAAAAGTTATTAGCAAGTCTGCATTTTCAAAAATTTTTTTACTTAGGAGCAATACCAGTATTAGTAGTCCACAGCAATATCATTTGTTTATATCAGAGCTACTTGAAGATTGTAGCAGTATCGCATCTTTATTACTGACCAATACGTAGTTCGTAGCAATATCAACTTTTTACTACAGAACACCATTCAATAGTCTCACACAAAAATATGTAGGGGGTAGTATGGATGGGTGGTTAAGTAGGTCATTAAGAAAGAAAATTTTTTAGAGGACCAAGGACAGAGGCCTGTGGAGCTGCACAGGTAACATATAGAACGTTGAAGTAGACATATGTCAAGAAACCCACTGTTTTTTTAACTAAAATCTAATATTGAACCTCCTTAGACAATTCAACAGCTTCCATGATTCTAAAACTTCAGATAGGGGTATCGTAGTTAAATTGATATACCGAACATTTAGAACTGATTGACTTTTCTCTTATTGTGATATTTTGTTTAGATTAATGGTTACCTCTCCAAACCAGAATAACAGTCCATTGTCACCCTTTGTTCTGATATCGAACTGCAATGATGTCAGCTCAATGGTTCTAGAATATAGAGTTCAAATGGTAAAAATTTTAGTTCGATAATAGCAGGATGTTTTATATTGCAATTTGAGGGAAATACCCTTTTTTAACGCTTTTCAAGTAAATATTAGGATATGTTATACAACATCATACAGGTTTCCTACACCAAAAACCATTCTTCAGTTGGAAAAGAAATCTTGAAAAGTAAGGTGCCTGGAAATCTATGGTAGTAAGTTGATAGTAATATCATATTGTGAGAGAATATTTGAACCACACTAAGATTGTACCAGTGGGCGTAAGAATTAGAAATACGTGACTCTAGACAAGGATAAAAATCAATCAAAAAGGATTTAACATCGAACAACTATTTTGAAAACTGTTAACATAGCTTAGTTTTTGCTTCCTGTTAAATGCAAATAACAAGACATAGGAATCACCAACTTTAATCGTTTGAAGAAGCAGGGTCAGGGCACCAAGAGTGAGGACTCCGTAATCAGCTAGAAGTAGCCAAAAACCTGTTTTTGGTCACATATATATACATTGGAAACAAATGATAATAAAAGACATTTAAGAAGGAAAAAAATCTAAAAAATACAACATACAACATACCTTAAAATGTGGCGTGGAAATTTCAGATACCCATCACCCTTAAAAAGAGCTTCATTTCCAATCTTAATGGCTGAATAAAGAGATGAAGGAAAGCTATTTTCAGTGGTAAAATAAAGTTAGCATTTTTTATATTTCATGCATCAGTGGCTGTACAGGTAAAAGACTTCGGTTCTCGCTTTTCTATCAATTATCATAAAATACAGTAGTTTTCCTTCGAATACAATAATGCAAAAGAACAGCTATTTCACCCGTGAAAAATTGACATTTTCTATCTGCTTGGTTGAAAAGAATGCTAAATTCATGATTTCCGAACCACAAGCTAGGCATTGTAAGCATTCATCAGCAATCCATAACGGAATATTCTACAGAAACGAATTGAAAAACCGAAGTAAATTTTTTCAATTGAAAATAAAAGCAAGTAGCAATGAGTAAAAAAATATTTTCGGCTTTATATATCGAGGTGCTTTGAATAAAATCTTGAATTTTTCATTGTATAAGATGCTCCCTGCCCTCCCCCACCCCCGTGGCTGGAATTTGACACCCACCTCAAATCAAATTTGAGTAGTTTAAAACTTTACTAAGCCCCCTTTCTAAGGCTTTTTCAAAAACCATACAGTGAGGGGCTTAAAAGTGAGGTTGACTTCATAGAGAGGAGGCTTATAAATGCTCCTTAGGATTTATGCCACTGATCCAAAGTATTTAGAAGGCGCACAAAAGGTTCACTCTTCAAATGAATACCAAAAAGGCATTGTAATTTATGAATTAGGAAAATAGCCGACGCACTGAAATAGCATATGAGGCTCAATGATAACGCAGTTAAGAACACAAATTAAGAATTATACTTCCCAAATATTATAGTATATATCACTGGGAAAGCTAAATAGAAATGAGGGGCTTGTTTATTTCTATTTCCAAGCAATAGGCTTATTAGAAAATGGGGGCTTATTTTTTCTGCTTCAAAATGGGAGGTTCGTCAGGAGAGAAGGGCTTAAGAGGAAAGGGGGCTTAATACAGAGTTTACAGTATAGTGTAAGCTATAAATATCTATCGGTTACCTTTCTCGCAACCTTTTCCCGTAAAACCAAGCTTGCATTGGCAAGTGGGACTGCCATTCATACGAATACAGGAAGCACCATTTTTGCAGCCATCTACTTTTCCACAACGCTTTGTAAACGATTCACAGTGTTTGCCATAAAAACCAGCTGGGCAAACACATTTGTATGTGGCAGCACTCACAACCTGTAGACGGAGTGCTTTAGATTCAAATTTATCTCTTTTAGAAAATTTACTATGTTCCGTCTAGCATAGTCTTTGAAAGAGCAAGAGCTGAGCAGAGAATTTTCGACTCATATTTGATTATACTAAGAAATTGCTTTCAACTTATTTTTTGACGAGGCTATAGCTACAATGCTTGCCAAAAGTGCTTGGAACACCCAGCAATTGGCGTTGGGTTCCCAATATTTTTATCTTTTTACCCGAGTTCTGCTATTCCCGCCCATTTACCCCTGAACAATGTCGATGCATAAAAAATTACAAGTCAAAAGAAAAAAGTACTCCCTAATCTCGTTCTTTCTTTTATCGTAAACCAACATTGTTCAAAAAGGAAGAGGGAGATGACTGAATTTGACCTTGAAAACTGACATTACAGGGCCTCCGACGAAGGAGCCTTGGCCCCCCACTTTTTTGCAGAACAATAGAGTTTTTTTCAAAAATCCTTTTTATGGGTTTTAAATTTTCCCTTGGCCCCCCCCACTTTTCAACCTTTGTCGGAGCCCATGCATTAGTGTTCCAAAACCTTCTAGGTATTTTAGCCATTTGCATATCTAATGGGAGCTAAATATCAACATTGAAATGCTGTTTTTTTCAATACAAACTAACAGATACCTAACGGTTGTATCTTTGTACCATGTTTAAAGGAGATTGGGGTTCTTCAAGTATCCAAACTACCCAAAAAATATTCTAATATGGTAAAATGAATAACAAAAATAACATTTGAAATCTATAAGGTTTGCTTTTAAATTTATGTTAAAATATTAGCATTGAAATATTCACTCGTTAGATATAACTCAAGTAAAAAAAATTAAAGATAGACTGCAAGCATAAAAACTGCAAAAATTGATAGCTAGAGCCCAGGCTCAAAGACATCAACCATGAAAGTAGGTTCTACCAACCATAAAAAATAGGGACTTAGTTGGAGCCGTCAAATAATCTGAGGATTATCTTGTAAAGAAATTGAGAGTAGGACCTCTGTTGAACGAGGATCGGGGAAAGTACGATGTTAATTTGTCTCGATAGTATTTCTCAAAGTTAATATTACCGAATATTTAATTTTTGAAATATTCTGCCATACAAAATATTTATCCTCGTGCATGATGACACATACTAGAAATGACAAAAGGTGCTATTTACCTTGCATTGTGCATCGTTTCTGCAATGCGACGGGGTGCACGGTGTCAAGGTCCCAAGACAGTCCATTACCTCATGATTTGAGATAAATTCAGTCACCAAGTCAATTTTCCTGTCATTGATATGAAGATCTTGAATGCATCCATCGAAACCTTGATAAGAAAGCCATGTCTTGTTGAACGTGTATCTTTCACTTGCATTTAATCCTCCTACAAACAGCAATGGTCCAAGATTCAATGCAATGGAGTAACCAGGTGATGACCCTTTGACAGCCGTCATTCCATTGACTGCAATGGATCCATATCTTTGGTACCGTTCAATTTCTATGGTGTTCCAATTGTTTAGCGACACTACCTCATGGTGCCTGATGACGGCTGCACCAGATCCACTGTTGAATTCAAACTGTACATAGCCATTGATAAGACGAATCAAAACGTAATCGTTTTCTGATTTCAAAGGGGCAAGGCCCCCATTAAAAAGCAGCAAGCCATCTCTCAATCTTGGCATAAATTTGATGAAAATATGCAAGTCCTCCCAGGCTCCTTTTATACCAGGAAACGTCATAAAAGAATGATTTGTGAATGATGGCGACATTATCGTGGCTCCTGCAAGTTAGTAAAACTTCACAGCAAAAAGGTAGAAAATATCGATAAAGAAAGTATGACCAAAATGGTTGAAGTGGAGAAAAAATCCAGAAAATGCATCTTCCAAGTCATAAACAAGTCACTTCAATAGTTAAACTGAAAATTTATACTTGATTGTAAAACTTTAAATGGAACAGCTCTTAAAATGCCCTTGGTAAACTTTTCATCGAATGAGCATTAAAAACTTCTCATGTTAAATTTCGATCATTAGGAAATATGTCTGAAGAACCAAACTGAAAATTTTTAAGGAATTAATAAATAGCTGCCCTCATAAATATCATAGTATCGATGATAAATTCAGACTAAAGTTTGCTATTTGGGTGCCAGTGCCCACCTGGAATGCCCATCAGTATTGAATACGTCATTTGAACAACTTCCTTAGGCCCATTTAGTACGGACATGAATCTAGATTGACTCAGCCCTACTTTATATTGGAACCATAGCTTTTAGAACCCTAAAAGTCTTAGTGCTGAATAAATTCAGTAATGCCAGACTGCTTCTGTTTCTGTGTTTATGAATTTTTAAAGACACTTATTTGATTGCAAAATGCAAAATAGATGGATTTTGGCTTTGGAGTTCTAAATCACGATAATAACGGCCTAATTCGCCTGCTATAACAAATCGATCAGTCATAATTTAGCACCTGGCTCCAGTTATAAATTAGCGATTATCGTACATTTAAAGCTTAGAACAGAATTAGCTTTGTCTTTACAGAAAGTGGGAGGGCTTATACTAAAGAATTTTGTAGAATATTTCAGCACTGTGCACTGTAAACGCCTTATGAATTAATGCTTCTTGAGCTTTGAGATTTCTCAGCTGAAAAGCTGACATGTTTTCGATGGCAACTAGAAACATTAAATTTGAGATCGAAGCTCAAAGCATTTGACAAAGTTTGAGCCAAACTTAACATTTTACACGATGTAGACCTAGCTACTTATGCTTAGATAAATGAGATGCACAGTGATAAATGATTTCCAATGTATTTATTTGTAAAATACAGTTGATATCTTGGAAAGCATCTGATAAAGTTTTGGCAATAACTCATTAAAAGTTTTTTAGGTAAGAAAAAGTGAAAATTTTCCTCAGAATTGAAAAACTTTTCTCATATGTTTGAAGCTGTCCCCAAAAGATTAACACTTTTCGCAAAGTTTAAAATATATCATCAAAAGTTTGAAAATTTCCAAAAAACACAGTTTCAGATGCTCCACCAACACCAGACAATTCAGATGAAGGAGATGATGTACCAAACGATACTTTTTGTACCAATAAGATGAGACAAATACATAATCTGCCAAGGCAAAAGGTTCAAACTCTCAATGGATTAATTTTCCTTTGAGTGACACGTACACCATGACGCAAAACCTTGCGGTTGATTAAAACAAAACATATCGCTAGATATAACCTTATCACAAGACACAGTTGTTTATGGCAACAGTATCTTCTCGTAAAGTATCTTTTATAATAAAAATAACGACAACAAAAGGTTGTACTGATCAAGCCTGACAAAAAAATAAAGATTTGCGCAAATTTCAACTTCATTTAACAACTACAACAACACCAAGTGGCGGAATCTCTATTGCGACAATAAAGAATTTGAAGTCGGACGTCATGATAAAATCTATAAAGAGATTTGACCTTTGCCCACATAACCTTGGAGCACCTCTCAATTAGCAAATTAGTAAAATCTTTCATAAATCTAAATATATTCAGTGATCTTGCAAAGCTGTAACCTTAAGAAAACTTGAGATATCCATGCAAATGTTTTGTTCAGATAAGCAAGTATATATTTGAAAGTAAAGAAAAACTAAACCATATTGAATTGACGAAACAAACAAGATCAAAAAGCTTTTGGCAATTGATCTAGGACACGACTTGCAACCACACCGAGTTTGGTTGGCCTAAGCCACGTGGAGCTGGTTAGGGCAAAGTCTATTTTTGGCATGAATGGCTTGAAATATATTGGGTGGCCTTTTTAGTCACTGATATCTAAATAGCTTGTAGACTAGCCTTGTTAATTTTTTGCCGAAGGGAGGTTTTACCATTGCTCGATACTGGGAATGCTTACTCTTGTCAATACTTGATAATTGTTGTTATAACTCATTTTGATTTGCTGCATCTTGAAATTATATGGCTTTTATTTTTTGATGCAATTTGTTCAAATTTCATTTAGGATATATTTTCAATTCTTGAAAGTCAGAAGTATTCAAAGCTTGAAAAAAATTTATTTCAGAAAATGTTTAATTACTATTAAGAAAATGTTCAATTTATTACTGGGAAAATTACTTTGCAAACATGAATGTAAGGAGGTCAATTATCACACGAGCTATTATAATACATCTGTACTAATTTTCTGTCGGTAGCAATATCTTTTCTATATATTAATAGTACTTACCGTATTGACAGCGTTCTCCGTACGACCCAATAGGGCATTTGCAGCGGAACTCTGAATTTTCTGTGTCAGAACATACTCCATTTGGACCACATGCCCCTGGAAAACATCGTGCAACCCTGGCTTGGCAGTCACTACCAGTAAACCCTGGCTGGCAATCACATTTATACCCAAACCTACTTGAGGCTGCAAGGCATGTACCTCCGTTTTTACACGGCTGCGTTAAGCAAATGTTGCATTCGGTAACACCAACCATCATCAAGGAATCTTCTCCTGCAACATAGAATTTGTGTTGTCAAGTGAGGTTACTAGTAAGGAAAAATACGATTTTAGATAAACATCGATCAACGGAAGAGTAAAAGATAACATCATAGTCGAAAAAGCAGTCAAGTTGAGTGAATATACATTTGATATTGCTGATAAATGCTAAGCTTTAATTTGCTAAATTTTGTAATAACAGTAAAATTCTTGTAAGTTGTCAAAAGCAATATCTATTCGTTAACTGCTTACAAGGGAACATTACGGACAGCTTCTCATAGCAGACACTTCAAAACAATAATCAAACATCTTTATATCAAAAGGCTTCTAATTTACGGTCACAAGCTTAAAAAAATATTCCGGAAAATAGGCAGCCTGTTTGGTTCGAAGAATATGGAAGTCATTCAGTAGACTTTTGAAATTTAAAGCAACACTTAATGTAAATGCAAAAAATGGTGATGCTGAAAAGAGATGAAATGAACCAAAAAATTTGCGCATGACCAGAATCCAATATGAGCAATGATCTGAAATAATTTGATGACGAGTGCAGGGCGTTGTGCCTGCGGAGGGCAGGGGGCACACGCCCCACAGCATCGACCATTCGAAAAATTTTCGGAAATTTTGTTTACGTGTAGCTGAAGGATATTGTCTGTTCATAGAAACTATAAAAGTTCTGAGAAGCTAGTCAGCTTGAGAAGGAGATTGGTAAAAAAATATATAGACAGGGAAAGTTTTCTGACAAAAATCAAACTCGCGGTAATTTAATTTACGTTCTGTCTATTCAAATCTGTTCACTTTGTACAAGATAATTGCAACCTTGCCAATTGCCTCCATCAAATATAAGTACACCTTTTCAAGGCTTAACTTCGCAAAGTATGCGAACAAACTGCAATTAACAACGAGCAAAGAGAGGTTAATCATTAAGATTACTTAAAAAAAGTTCGAATACTGATATTGCCTTTTCTTTGACTAAATCGTTGAAACCAGTAATAGAGTTCTAAATTGTGACGCCACCAAAAACCTATTTTTAGAACTTTTGAACTTTTAACCACATAATATATAAGATCTTTTAACCACACAAATACTTCCAAATATGCAAAATTATTCAAATGTGTCTAATATCAGTTGAGATATTGCCAATAAAAGATTTGAAGTTTGCTAACGAATCACTGTTATCTTGGCTTTGTTCATTAAGTTATGAACCGAGACCAAAATACAGAGGTTTGATGGGGAAAGAGCCAATACATATGTGGCCATATCTCAGCCAATTTGTAAGACATTTGATTGATTTTGCATATTTAATGGAATTTCATGATTTCCTTCAGGCTATGGGATCCAAATTCAAAAATTCGAAAAATATATTTTTGTGAAGTCATCACTTTAGAACTCTATTGAACGAAAGTGTGAGTAAAACTCTGGAAAAGATACGTATTGTTTTCAACGTTTTACGGACGTACCACCCTACATTTTTGCTCTCTCAAACTTCCTTATCATCTGCATAAAAACTCAACAAATAGAAGAGATCAAGTGATCTAGCGTTATTTTATTTTGTTTCCTTAAAGTTAACATGTAATAACGTTTGATATCAACGACCTAAAAATTGCTGAAGATAGTCAGGTACTGCAAAAATAATCTATAGCAAAAGGAAATAAAAAGAAATGTTGTATTTCACAGATATCTAATTACTTTGATACTAAGGATGCAAACTAACGTACTTAACAATATTTGTGATATTGTCAACTTTTGAGGTGAAAAACCTGCGTCTAGACGTCAGAAAAACAGGTCTATGGAAAATCGAATTATTAATTTGCACTTCATAGTCTCTTCATCCTCTGATTTTGTTTGAAAGTGGTATATAATGTCCCTACAGATCACGTTGTAGCATTGATATTGATGGACTGAATTCAGTAAATTTTGTCTTAATTGCATCTAACAACTGGCAGACGGGGCCCAATGTCCATCGACCATTGATTTAAAAATTCACAGCTTTGTAAAACTCTTCATCAAGAAGCACCAGCCCAAAACATCCTTTTAATTGCGTCTTTAAATGATATATTTTCACTTATTTCCTGACTCAAAATTGCTTACAATATCTAAGGTTACAGCTCTCAAAGTTGCACAGGTGTAAATCCTGATTTTGTGATAAAACATGTTACATTATCAAGATATTTTATTCTGAACTTTTTCTGGTGGCTAGATATCACATAACCCTGAGAGTGACCTTAACAATTGGCATGCGGAGAGACAGGTACCAGCGTTCCCTAGTTAGTAAATTTTTAACCAAAGTTTCGAAAAGCTTTTCATAAGTGTTCTAGCACCACCTCTGTGTCAAAGGTAAATCAAGAGAACCAAAAGTACCATAATAAAATGAAATTGCGACTGTAAACTTTCAATGCAATTTATATTCATCAATAATAAGTAAGCGTGAGAGGGAATACTTTTGGTTCATCAAGGAAGTCAAAAGAGAATGTATTTAACTGAAGTTGCTTATAACTTTTTAAACGTGTTGTCAAATTGCTCAACATTTATCCGTCCCCAGCCCTAGTTGCCTATGAAACGTCTGTCAATCAACAACTGGCCAATCAGTGTGCTTGATGCTATTTTTGTGCTTAATGATTGGTTAATATTGATTTGCAATGGCTGAAGCCACTTCAGTATCTGTCGATTGCCTTTAAATGGTGTCTTATAGTGTGAAATGTTACTCAGCTTGCAAAGTGTATTTGGGAGAGCAACAGAATTGCCACAAGTCCACACTTCCTGCAAAATTTCCCAAATTCTTGTAACAATAGCAATCTTCTGGTTGTCACTTTCTATTCACGATCGCTGTGCGCATTTTCGTTGCTTAATAACAATGCCAAATATTGCATGTGATTTTCCTTGCTTATAAATTTCTGTGAATTATCACTTGGATGCGAAATAATGCCCATTTTAGGTTGCAAAATAATTAACAACTTTTAAATCTTTTTCTTGGGTGTTTGTTTGGGAGGGGGGGGGGGTTACCTTAGAGAAACTTTAATTTAAATATCTGCTCCCTTGCTTCTTCGTGAAATTTATATTCTGCTATAACCGACTTTTTTAATTATTTCTCATCTGCCTTTATATCTTAAAACATTCAAAGGAGGGTTACCAAATCCTGCCAGAAAGTATTTTAAAAAACTTTGTTACAAATCTGGGTGGGTTTGAAGGAACTCATAGATATCCGAACCAGAGTACTTTGAAATATGTTTCATAATCAAGCCCGTGGCGACGCCTATAAAATTATGGAGAAACTTATTTCTAGTGTGAATTCTGAATATTTATATAAAGCGCTTTCTCCATTTTTAAGATATTCTTGATGAGTGTTTAACAGGATCTGCATAGATTAAGGATGGACCGAAAATTACAATGGCTCACATTATCTAAACAAATTGACGACCGGACATCCAATAGAACGGTGATGGCTAGAAACACTGTTAAACAATTCTTAATCTAATAACAGACATAGTGATCTATGCATTTATGTCGTATTTTGGTAGTTAGATCGCAAATGTTCTTAATCTGGTGACAAAGGGTCATCAGAATCGATTCAGATCAATATAGCAACATTGCGTGTTAATTAAAATCATGTTAGTTTTTGAAAAGGCTTAATGTGATCAAAACCAGAATGACTCCTTGTGCGTTTGGTCTGAGACCATTCACGCGCTGTTGATATTAAAATCCCATTCATTGTACAGAATAGGAACAAGTTAATGAAAAGTAAGAATATTAACTGCTTAATAAAGGATAAGTGTAAATATTTACATAGAAACAGAAGCAAGGTCGTGTTTCTTCTGATTCTGAAAGCGTTTGGGATAATTTGTTTTCCATTAATCGTTTCTACACTATTGTGCAATCTAAGAAGGAAATCGAGTCTCTGTTTAAGGAAGGCATATCATAACAAATAAGGGTCTCTCTGCTAAGGACATTTATGACACAATTAAGGATTAATTATTGCTAAAAGCAAGCTTTTAATCAAAAGTTCATATCAGTAACAATCGTTTGTAGGACGGAATCATGTGTGAATTGGAACAAATAAAAAGATGCCTTTCAATTTTATCTATAGTAGTTTCGCTTTGAAAAGATGCTGTCCCCTTATTTCCATATATTCTTTCTTTCTATTATACACAAAGACAGGTATCTGATTGTATTCAGAGTTGCATTAAATATAAATTATTGAAGCATTAAATAACGCAAACCACTTTAGAACTACTTAGTACTGCAATACTGTTTGCATTGACAAAAATTGAAACAAATTGCTCTGCAGCAAAAGAAAGCAATTGTTTGTATGACAATCACACTGCGCCTGTCTATTGCAGCACAAATTTGTGGTCTTTAAACGTCGTTATGAGTTAATGGTCTAAGATAAGTCAACAAGATGGTTTTATCTAAAAGCACTTTGACTACCTGATTCTTACACTGACAAGAAACAGGTTCCATTCTGTGTATGAATTCTATCATAATCATTATTTTACTTACCCAAAAACATCCTGATGATCGCCTTAAATGTGAAACTCGAAGAAGCAACTTAGAACAATCCTGTTCTTTACACCAAATAACTTTGAATTTAAAGTATAATTGTATATATCAAGAAAGAAAGAAGTATATTAACATATCGTTGTCAAGTCAATGATAAAAAGTGAAAAGTCAAAAGGTCAATGACTTGATAACGAGCTAAGCTCAAATGACATTAATACAACTCACTCTTTCTTCTTACAAGCAATTTAAATTAACTTCGAAGTTATATAAAAATTACATATTGTCTCAACAAAGGAAATAACATTGTTGAAAGAATTTTTGTAATCATCTATAGCTTCATTTTATGATTTTTTGTCATATTTTGACGCAGAAAAGACATTATGATAAGATATTTAATATGTATGGCTATTGCCTGTCTGTTGCTTATAATTAAATTTCAAGAAAAAACGCACAATATACATTATGCTAATAGGATTGTCAGCTTTTTCATCCGCTAGACCACCGCACTATTCCAAAAAACA